GGAGTTTGAGGATGCTGAGACACCAGAGCTTTATTGGCCTGTTTGGTTTTGATATCAGAAATTGGACTTTCAGCCAAAGACTTAGAATCAGAGTCCTCCTCTTCCTCCTTCAAACGCAAAAAGATCTTCTCCAGATCTCTAGTAACTTTTGCATCAGAAGCAGCTTGATGACGCCGGCCTGTCTTTTCCTTGATAGGATTTCGTGTCTGGCCCTTTGCAGCTGGTCCACGAAGTTTCTGACTAGTTTCAAGCTCTAAAGGATCATAAGTCACATTAATAGAGAAATAAAAAGAATATAGCAGACCAATATAGTCCTTTACTGATCCATGATCAATCTGCAGTCTGACTGCCAAGATGTGATAGCAGGCCTTTCCTGTCTGATCAAATGGAGAACAGGTGCAAGAAAGAGAACCATCTTTCTCTTCAGTTACAGTAGCATAGCACAGAGATGAAGCTTTTGGAGGCATAGCAGGATGTTGTGTGCAGTATAGAAGAAGATGGTGGTAGTAAATGGGAGAGATGTCCTGGCCCATCTAATCTGATCAGCCAATCAATAGGTCTGTTCTAAATATAGTAATTAAAAAACCTGGGTTGGATCAGTACTTTCATAACCCAAAATCCAGGTTGGATCAGTACTTTCATAACCCAAAATCCAGGTTGGATCAGTAGTTTCACAACCCAAAGTCCAGGTTGGATCAGTACTTTCATAAATCAAGAATCCAGGTTGGATCAGTACTTTCATAAATCAAGAATCCAGGTTGGATCAGCAGTTTCATAACCCAAAAATCCAGGTTGGATCAGCACTTTCATAACCCAAAGTCCAGGTTGGATCAGTAGTTTCATATACCAAAAATCCAGGTTGGATCAGTAGTTTTATAAACCAAAAATCTGGGTTGGATCAGTACATAAGAAATGCTGAAATTGTAGTTTAATCTGGGGGTTGGATCAGAACTTCTTAAATCCAGGTTAGATCAGGACAATTATCCCAGGTTGATTCAGTAGTATCAAAATGGTTGAATCAGTAGTTTTAATATCTAAAACCCAGGTTGGATCAGTAGAATTTATACATGCTGGATCAGTACTTTGAAAAGCCGGGTTGATTCAAAGACTGCAGGGGGTAGAAACACATCTTGCAAGGTGATTGGGCGTCTATTTGTGGGTTTAACGGGGCCATGAGGTGTTTGGCTCGGGCCAATGAAATGTTCCCTGCCAACCTCATGCACAGCCTGATTTCTGCGACCAGCAGAAAAAGAGGAGGATTGACATCGAAGCTGGTACTCTTTCAGTAGCGAGAAGCTGCAAGACGGTGTTCCATTTCTATCCATGTAGTATTCAGCTGACCTCTCACAGCCTGCGTCTCATGGCTAATGTTTTTTTATGCAATTAGACGAATATCACTCCGTGTTGAAGGTACCATCACGGTCTTTAGGTGGGTTCTTCACTTCTGGTTGATTCTCCCCGCTGATTAACGCATGTTTACATGCAGTGGCCACTTGACCAACAGGAACTTGATGAAATGTGCTCCTGTGTTGGCTATATTTGTCCTAACATCTTGTCCTGGAGTTGAGGTGGGATACTTCCCTCCTGTTGGTGAAAGCTGACTACTTTTTCTTCCTCATGTCAAGAGCCTGATCTGACGCCGTCTTGTCGTGGTAAGGGTGCTTTATTTATGTACCACCTCGTTTCCGACTGCGCACTGTCAACACCTCTCACTTATGGCGGAGAACTTGTCTTGAGTAATGAAATTCCTACGGACACTATTATACAACATTCTCTGGCAGGGTAGGTATGTCACCTCCCCTCCAGATAAGTGTATATGTCTGGGTATCTAAATTGAACTCATGAACCTCTATGATCCTAGGATTCCTTTGGAGAGCAGGAAATTCATACCGTGTCCATATAGAAGTAGGGTTAATCGCGCCCTTTGTCAGGATGTATGCTGTCCCGGATGCTTCCCTCGCCAGCGCTATCGAGACATGTATGACGATCTTCTCCTGTTCCGCAGTATTACCACCACACGCGTCCACCCAATTCATCTGATCGTCAAAGGTAACAAAGCTACCAAAGAATTTCCCTGGAGGAGTGAGGGTCCCTGCGAATCCACCTGCCTCCATCGCACTTGCCGGTTTCATATAGAAGACGGTGTTGGTGGACATGCCTTTATTACGAATATGTTGGCGCATCGAATCGATTGATGGGCACTGTCCATGGCGTGCGATCAGTGAAGAGGTATCGGGTGATACGTCTATGGGAGCGGCAAAGCTCAATGTCGCAAAGGTGGTGGTGAAGAGGATGATGAGAGCAACAAGGTGCTGTATGCCGTATAAGCGCTGAAGACTTTGTGCCATTGTATCGAAAATCGAGAACTTCAAGGCAGCAATCGACGAATTGAGCACAGCTCCGTGGGTGTTAGTACTCGCTATAAACAAGGGTCCAGCCCGTTGAAAGCCTGTATGTGCATTAGAATGAGAGAAAATCTAGGAGACCTGAACGGCTTACACGAGTGATTGCGAGAGTTATTGGAGAGGGGATGTTCTAAGGATGCTCTATATGTACCTAGATCCGCCCTTTTCAGGCGCTTTACTTAATTCTCTTTTCAAAATTGCCAAGAAATGTTAATCTTGCCAAATTGTAGAGAGCGGTGCGCACTGGCGCTCAGCTGGCATATCAGTGATCAAGTGACCCACATTGTGAAACCAGCTCCTGGGCACCTACTGTTCCATCAGATATTACCAGGAAGGGGCGAGGGGGAATCGAGATGGGCTTGGTCGCGCTCGGTGATCATGCATGAGCGCCCACACTCTTGAAGCTTGAAATTTGGACCACCCCCATTTCTTCTTTAAATTTGTGGGCGGTCTGAACACTGATAGTAACAAACAAACAACCCCATCCATATATGGCGTAATATATCGAACTCTGAGCGCTGAGCGTCGACGTCCAACACGGGTCTGACAGGCCATTTACCTCTATCTGAAAGTCGATCAGACCGAATTATAAGCTAGGGCTCAACGTTACTCTCTACCTTCCACCATGTCGCAAGTCAATGCCCTCGAAGCCTGCACCAATGGCGATATCTCTGCATTAACAACCCTCTTATCAGACTCTTCCATTACCATAACCGACGATTTTTTATCCAACATGCTCCACAACGCGGCGATCAATGGGAGGGACAAGATCGTTCAACATCTCCTCAATTCATACAGGCCAAACCACCTCGACGACAAAGTCTTTCGCGCAGCAGCAGCTAGCGACTCCATAGAAACATTCGAACTCATCTATAACAAGAATCCAGCCTGTATAGCCGAATTCTACGAGCGATACGGAACACTTCTTTCAATCGCCCTTTGCGCAGCGGTGTCGAAGGAGTTTATCAGATATCTGCTGTCATTGGGAGCTGATCCGAATGCAACATCCGCCGATACAATCACTCCTCTCGCATATGCAGCCTTCCAGTATAATTCCCCAGAAATGGTCGAATTCCTGCTTCAGCACGGCGCGCAAGTCAACGGATCGTCAGCCTTAGCGGCTGCAGCTCAAAAAGGATACCTCGCCACTGCAAAATATCTGCTAGATCATGGGGCAGACGTAAACGACCCCGGTAACTGGACGCAACCCTCATTCCCGTTACACATCGCAGTCAAGTATGATCACAAGGAGATGGTCAAGTTTTTGTTAAGCAGCGGGGCAGACCTTGGATTGCTCGATGGATCTGGGCAAACGCCCCTTGATATTGCACGGGAGGGAAATAACACACAAATTATCAGCATTTTGGAGGAAGGGATAAAGCCAGTCTAGATTTACGAGTACATAAGGTTGTTAGTGATACCGTATGCTATTTGTTGTAGATTCAGACTAGTAATACTAGTCTGAATCTACAACATACAGCCTACCCAAACATTTGACTCCGCTCTGCACCAGGCTGGTGCCCACAGAGCATGGCCTATGACACCTTGACATGATTTCTTCGCCCACAGCGCCTTCCATAAAGACGCCGTGATGAATAAAATGTGGCGCTCGTATACGTGTACTTCAAGGCAGAGTTTGACAGTCAACTTCGACGCCCACAGCATCCCTGACAGTGTGCACACTGACACGGCTTCTTCGCCCACTGTCATTCTTTTATTCCATTTTCTTTGATTTCCCCTGCTATTTTTCTGGATCTTGTCGAGGCTTCTTGGACTTTTCTCCGCGATGTGATGGCAGGCTGCAGCGATGCTCTTCATCCCAGATATAGGAGTTCTTGAAGAAACTCGAGGAGGCAACGAAGGGAGGATGAATGCAAGATGGATGGCTCATTTTACTCGCCTGGACCACAACTATAGCTTCTATCCGTTTCCCTCCCTGGTCTTCGAAAGCTGAACGATATTGGGCGCTTCTTGCTTCCGGCTAATGCGGCAATGAGCGAAGCCGACAACAACCCGATGTTTTGGTGAGCTGAGGATTTCCAGACACCAAAGGTCATTTCATTTCGAACGTAGTGTGTAGGCACACACTCTCGGCGGCGACGGCGAGGAAGCTGGAAATGGAGTCGGTGGTAAGGAACTTCGGCCGTGGGTTGCTATATAATTCTAGTCAGAAATTGTTGCTTCGAACGGACTAAGTATTTCCTAGGCAAAAGGGATGGTTTAAATTTTTGTACACAAGTCAGTAAATCGAATAATTCTTCGGCCATCTTCATCCGTCGTAGATAGATCGCAGATAAATTGTAGAGGCTGATTTGGAATGGGTTTCGTGTCGAGTGAGGACGGTATGAACAGAACCGGTGACGCGGCCCGGACTGATGTTCATGTCGTTGCAGGCTCGTCGCTCGTTCGCCCTCTTCTCAGCACCACCAGGACCCTCCTGTGCTGAGCCTCACCTCCTCATCACGCCGCACTCAAGACCACTTCTGAAATCGAACGCATTTATCCTTCGTCACCTGGAGAGGCCCCTCTGGAAGGGAAGGAGGAAGAAGAGGCGAGGAGGGGCGAACAAACGTGAGGGAGGTTGGGAGAAGGAGGTACATGTGCGCCCTCGTCATTATCGGTAGCCTCTTCTTCGATTGCGACGGCGGTCACACCGACCTCCTGCGTCTCTGCTTGATGCTGTTAGGGGCCGCAGCGCTATTCTCTGATGCGAAACATCCTCGGTACGTAGCCTTTGGATCTCGTGGTTTTCCATCTGAGTATCTCATCCTCACCTTCGTCTAGTTTTCCTTGTGTCTCAGATCTCATCCTCGGCATCGATCTCTTATTTCTCATCAAATCCTCCGGGTACTTAGCATGACAACACCGCAGCGGTTCGCCTCTCCCTCTTCATCCACCCATCGGCCCCACTCTGGCGGTTACCAAGGTCTACGTTCATCTCGCCCTGACCTCCGTGCACCATGCATCCCCACATGCCGCAAGCTCAGCTCGACAACCACCTCTCTCGCCCTGCGTCCTTCCCTTTCACGCCAGCCTCTCTCCATCATCCCGTCAACCCCGTCTGACGTCGACGCTCCCTCTCCGATCCGTGCCTTGCCTGGTCCGCCTCTCCTCTCGCCCTCTCTTGGATTGGCATCGGCTTTCCTTCTGGGAACTCAAGCGTGCTCGTATGACAACACCCGGACGATCCATACCTACCGCCTCTTTGAATGTTGACGTCCATCTTCGCCTAAACCATGTCCTCCGCCTCTTCATTCGTCTACTGGGTCGATGTATGCGCTTCTCATGCCCCTTTCTCCTGGATCCTCCTTACTTATGGCATTTTCATCAGCACTCCTCGCGCAAGGTCTCAAGATTTCGTGAACGCGCTCGTACCGCAGTCCTTTGAACCTAACTTGGTGGAGGGAGCGTCGCCGACAAGACGGAGACAAAGGCAGTTACTACAACTCCCCCACCCACCGTAAGCTCAGCTCGGACGGCTTTGGGCGGCTTCCGTCTTTCATGAACTGACCCACTGCCTCACTCATAGGTATGGCTGGATTGATCCTCAAGCACTCGCAATCAGGGAGGTACAACGACTCGACGCACAGTATTCTCGGACGAGGCGTTTGGAACAGGTGCGAGTCTTTGTTCCCTTTTTCAAGACAGATCCACTGACTTTCGCTCTTGATCTTAGCCTTTGCTGATGACCCAACCACTGTTCGTGCACGATTTCGTTTCGACTCAATCACGAGGTCCACTGGCAGCTGCTTTGGCGATCTTAATCACCACATCAGCAGCTCCCTGAGCGATCGCCGTCGAGGACGGGCACTACCATACCCTCGACGCGAAGCTGGACCTGACAGAACAGGAACAGCGCACGCGAGTTTTCTGTGGGTCTTCACGCATCTCTCTCCATCCATGTTTCCTTCCCTCACATGCCAGCTGTTCCATCATGATGTCTTCCTCGTCTTCGCGCCCTCTTCGATCCGTGCATTCTCTCGTCTCTTGCCTTTCCCTACAGGTTTACACGTCTTAGGGTCCCTCACTCCAGGTTTTCGACAGAGTTCAAGTATCGTATGACGGAGGCCTAACATCTAGCGGGTATTTACCCATTCGCTTGTCCATCCTCGAATAAACCTCCCACGTCACGTCTTCTCCTGATCCTCTAGGTCGATATATGCGCAGATAATGCGTTTTGCCACGACTCGATCTCGTTAGTGTCATGGATCCTCAAGCCAAAACTCAAACCAGTTGCAGTACGTTCGCTTCTGTTCGTCGCTTTCCTTACGACTATTGACGTTTGGAAAGTTGGAAAATCGTTCAATCGACGGAGACAAGGAGAGGCGTTGGCGGGGCTTCTCACGGAAATCAACCCAAGTTGGATGATCTACGAAATCGCAAATGTTGTGCAGTCTCGAAGGAGGAATTTGATCCCATTTCTAGCTCCGTACGTCAATGCTACGCCTCCAAATCTCGATGCCTACTCGAAACTAGCTCGCCGGTCGTCGCTGGCTTGTTCTTTCCAACCAACGCGGATTGTCGCCCTCAGTCTCTACGATTCGGATGCAACAGCCTTAGGTTCACATCAACCTTCCACTATTTCGTATGGCAACTACATTTGCACCAGCTTTGATCTCGAAACACCAGTCGCAGAGACCAAGGTCGTTCTTCAAGTGCTCGAACCCGTTCATGTCCTGTAGAGTCCTTTATCAATCAACCGACGGCGCCTATCTTTCCAATCTTCGTCGCAGGCCCTCTATCCAAGCAAAATGAACAGGAGCAGACTCCCCTTGCCCGCTCGAATTCGGTTGATCTGTGGGAGAAAACTCTCATCACCCTTGGTCCTCTACATGTACACCACTGCCCGCTCCCGTGCCCAGCGGCACGACCTTTCTATCGGCGATAGCATGGCCTGCGAAACTCGGTCCGTTGACCAAGAAATCTGCGTCCGCGCGCATCCGCATTACTCACTTAGCAACGTTCTGGACACTGGGGTCCCAAATTCTCCGTTCGATTCTCAAACCTGTCGCCTTCCTGCGCATTAGGAAAGATATCAGGTATCGTCTCTCACTTGGCTCGTGTTACCCAACTTATGTTTGAGACAATAAAGTGATCAACTACGTTGACGCGCTGGTGGCTTCTCCAGGCTTCGGATCCCCAGAGATCGACGTCCATGAGCTTATCTTGGGTAAGCACCCATTCCCTCTCCGTCTGCTCTCTCTCAAACGTCGGCTGATAGCCTTCCCTCCTCGCACTCACCTTCCATCCATCCCTTAGGCATCACTCACCCTCGCGTTCTCCGTACCGCTGCCGTATGACGAGCGAAGCGCCGCTAATCCACTGTCGGTCTCGCAGCGTCCTCGCGGGGTCGGCGTTCTACCGCCACTAGAACCTGTCCATGAGCGTTGGTCCTCTTTTTCTTCTGAAGGTTCCATCATGGAAGTTTGAGTTTTGGATGGAAGGAGCGAGATGTAATACGTGGTGGACGAGTCAACAGCGTTGGCGTCTATTTCAGGGGCCATGAGGCGCTTGGCTCGGGCGAGTGAACATTGGGGGCCG